ACGATTATGACATTGTCAAAGTCCATCCCGCAACGACAGAGCCTCCAAACTAGCAGCTAGAGGTGGCAAATGGATTGGATCCATGGATTGGTAGATCCATAGATCAAGTGGACTGGATCAAATGGATTTTTGAATTTATGGATTGGACCATATGGATCGGTGGAATGATCCATGATCCAAATGTCATATAAGCCTTGGACCAAAATGTGAACTTCAAAAGTTTTGGTACTAAAATGCCACAAGAAAATAATTTATGTACCAAAATTTAATTTTCTAATGAAATTTGGGTTTTATGATAACCGGCGGTTACCAGTTATTAGACGATAACAAGACGGTTAATCGGTAACTAACTGCTCAATCACCAATCAACCCACATCCCCACCCCACCCCTCTGCATCTCAATTCTACCAAGCCCACTTGATTCCCACTAACCCTAACCATAACATGAAACGACCCGATCTTTTTAGAAAACCAAACCACAGCTCAAACCAAAAACCGGTTTTTAAAATAAACAAACGGACAATGTTTAAGAATTTCAAACAAAAAGCCCCAACACTTGGGCAATAACAAATCCCAAAACACTTGACCCACAAATCTCAACCTTGAAACTCCAGTTTAGACCAACTCCAATGCAAGCCCTCAAATTTGGGGATCTTCATCCCCAAATTTGGGGTTCATCCCCATTTGCCCTTCTTTTGCTCCAATGCTACATCCTCTATATTTGGAGATCTCCATTTTTTAAGTTTTCCATTTACTTAAAAATGTACTTATCGAAGTCTTAATATAATTTGTTCATGTTGATTTTTGTATAGTTCGTCATCATTTTTAAATACAAATTTTCCGGTAGAAATTTTTTTAATTTTGAGACCAAATTTTTGTTGACAAAAAATGATTGACCTAATTTGGGTTTACACACAACACTTGAAAATTATTGATCTAATTACACCCCTAACTAATCCCCTAATTAAACCCCAATTAACCCTTAAAATCTTAAAAAGAAAAAGAAATGCCACGTGGCGGGCTTTGGGGAGTCTCTATATTTAGGGGAACCCCCATTTCCGCCCCCAAATTTGGGGATCCTTTTGGAGATCTCCCCCAAATATAGAGACTCCTCCATTTATAGAGGCTCCATTAGAGCCAACTTTCCCCCAAATATAGAGGCTCCATTGGAGTTAGCCTTATACTCATAATCATGATACATAAGAAAACTAACTAAATCTAACTCTAGCTCCTCGCTAAGCTCCCTGCGACCTCGCCAATGCTAGTGTGGCTTCTCGCCTCGCCCTGCCTCTTCTCGAAATCCTCATCTGTTAACCCTTCCTCAACCTGGTGAGAGAGAAGGGGTCAGTCTCGTCGTTACTTCCTAAGGTCTTTCCCTAAGAAAACCCTTACTAAACACATTATTAGAGTTCTTGACTTAGACAAAAGTCGTTCTCGCTTTCATCCTTTATACTTTGTTACAAAGAGTCCATAAGAGATCTCTACTCCTATCTTATCATTAGAATTTCCTTACTTATATTCTTAATCCATAGACACCAACACTAGGGACCACCACGCTACGTATCGCCGTCCAGTGTCCCTACTCTAGTATGCCAACCGCGTTACGTCTCGCCGTCTGGTTGCATACCCAAACTCGGCAATGGCACTGCGTTACGTCTCGTCGTCCAGTCCGTGCCCGGTCAACTACTGCGTTATGTCTCGCCATCTAGTAGTGACCCCAACATACTCGGTCAACTGGTGCGTTACGTCTCGTCGTCTAGCAGATATCCGACCATCTACCGCGTCCAGTAGTGGCCCAACCGTCTGGGGGTTCATCTTCCATTAACCAACTATTACAATCACACATCCATACATTCATACATAGCACAACGCGTGCCTCCACCCTTACAGGCGGTGGGTTGCCTCACACACATATCGCACATTACTCAAAAATTAACTAATTAATAACTTGAACGAAAAAGCATAAACTAAAAGACCTACAATAGAGATTTTACCCCCTTTACACTCACCACTTTAGTTGCGTCAACGTTTGCATTCTCACGCTCAAGCCCTGGGTGTTTTTCCTCCTTTGACTCCTCCTCTATCGGATCATCGTCTTCCTCTTCGACGACCCTCACCATTGGAGCTCCGCCGCCATTCTCTTCGAGGTCCCTCCTCCGGCCACAATTCATCGACCAACTTCGAAATACCGACACCCCGGGTCGTCTAGGAGGATAGAGTCGGGGCCTTTCCATCGCTTTACCCCGCCAGTCGCGATTGCCGTTGCCAAGTTCTCGTCCTTCCTCCCACCTCCGCTAGACACGGCTCTTCCTGTCCTACTAACCGGCGTGAACATTTTCATCACGAGATGCTACAACGTTTGATCGGCGGCTAACTTTCTCTCCTTCTTTCCCTCCTAAGCTAGATTATCCCAGGAAACCTCTAGAACGTGCCTATGACTAGATTGGATGACCCGGGACGTTGATCTCCTCGTTGATCGATGATCAAACCCTCAAACCTCGCCGCAAACGCTAGAAGCACGAAAGTGATGGGATCGGGTTCGGGTGGGGAGCCGACACTCCTTTTTTTTCCTCTCCTTCCTCTCCGCTCAACGCTCGTACTGCTGTTGCTTGGCGGCGGGATTATTTGGTGAGGGGGAAGGGTTGGGAAATCGGGGCCGCTCGGCCCTGTCCCATGATATATATATATCCCTGGGTAAAATCCGGGGTACCGCATACCTTGAGTATGAAAACACTATCTAGACCTTGAATTGACCGATCTTTCGGACATGATACTATACTCTAACCCTTAAAGATCAAAATCTAGGTCTTAATTCTTCCAATCTTATACTCCTAATATCAATTTGATTAGAAACAATAATCGACGGTTATGATTCGTCCAAATATAGGCACAAAGAGGAATGCACCATCTTAGGGTTTATATATTATGATTTCGATAGTTAGGACCTAGGGTTCACTCATTAAGGGTTAGGGTATAGTATCAGACCCAAAAATCCTACTAATTCGAGGTCTAGATACCGTTTTCATAGTCAAGGTTTGCGGTACCCCGGATTTCACCCGGGGTACCGTAGAAGGCACCATATATATATAATAATAATAATAATTATTATTATTATTATTCATAATCCGCGATTGCAACTCTTAGTACGTAACCGTCAATCCAACCGATCACGTATTAAGGTCGAACCGAAACTCAAAGTTTGGAGTGTTACATTATTTATGGTCGAACCTATCATTATTTATGATCAAACATAAATCTAAAATACCGGGGTGTTACATTTCCCCCACCCTTAGAAAATTCCGTCCCCGAAATTTGCTCGGAACTCGTCCTTCCATCAACACCCTTCTTGTTCTTCCTTCCCACAATCATCTATTCTTACTATAAAAACTTCGTTGGTACCTTTGCTCAAATAAGTTTCCTTAGCTTGCAGCACTGGTGTAACCATAAGTGCCTCACTGCCCTTTTTACTCCCCAGCTTGATCCAAACGTGGTGAAACAAAATGTCAATTCGGCTTGTCATGTTGATCCAATTCTTCTGGTATTTGATGTTGAACCTAAATCCAAAATCGAGACATCACATACCATTTCAACAAAAAAGAAAACTCAGAAAATGAAATTACATTCCCACCATGCCACATATCAAAATTTTCCTCTTCCTTCTCCTCGATTCCTCTGCCGCCGAATTAATAGCCACTACCTCTTCTTCTTTTCCCCTCCACCAAAACCCCTACTCCACAAATCTTGTTCCCCTCCATCATGAACCCTAATTTCAAGCATCTTGACTCGCCGACCTCAATCGCCACTCGACAAACGCTTCTCGCCAAACCCAATCCCAACTCCCTGGCCTCTTCTTGCCGACCCAAATCACCACTCGGCGACCTCTTCTCGCTGACCTAAAAACTCCAACCGGCCAACCGTATCTCCCTTCCTTCTCGACTTAGCGGAGGATCTGTGGGCAATATTTCAAGAAGTAAATCATTTATAGAGGTGAAGGATTCATAGGTTGATGATTAAACATGGCTCGATATGGAAGAAGAAAAAAGGCAAAGAAATCAATTTCCCAAGAAGAAACGGAAAGGCTCGATCTGAAAGAAGATGAGAGGCAAAAAAAGCGATGAAGTAAGGGGCCATATTAAAAAAGGATTGTTTTAATTCTTTTTATTAATTATCAGGTGGGCGGACAAACGATTAACCAAATTGACATAACCGATTATCGGTTGCGGCTAACCGATAAGGTTATCGGTGGCGATTTCAGTTGCTTGATTCATCCTCTTCTCGGTGGCGGTTAACCAAAAAATCGGTTTGGTTAAACCGTACCGATTATCATTCCTATCCATATGCATCTTTTTGTTCTTTTCCTTCATGTATTTTGGGCTACTAAATTGGATCTGAGCCCGACCCATTGGGTGGGAGGCTTGGGAGCTGTTTTTGGATAATTGAGAAATGATATCTCAGGAGAAAAGGAAACCGTTGAGTTATCATGATTGTGTTTTGAGTTACAAAAAAAAATGGAAGGCGATTTGCGCTTTCCCTTTCTCTCGTATGCAATCGCGGTTTCACCGGACAAGTAGTAGTCGTTTCCCCGACGCATGTCTCAAAGTTCCCACGATCTTCTATATGGGAGTGGGTTCCAGTTTCGTCATAGGTGTCCCCTTCACAGATTCAATTTGACGAATCAGCAGTTGGGTGGTTTATTTCTGCGACTACAGTAATCGCCCGTTTAGGGATTCAGTTATAATCATCCAATTCCTTAAAATGTTGGGAATAGTAATGATAAGGAGAACGTTAGTGCATCTCTCTTTGGTTTTCTTCTGGGATACGAAGGAGTGTATCATTCTTCAGCGCTCTGGGATATTTTTGTGTTCCTTTACAGGGTACTCTAATGTTTCAATTGTTCCTATATTGTTTCTGGAATTGTCTATGGACTTCCATTCTATTCACTGTGATATTTTTTTTTCAATTGGGTCTCACAACGACCGATTCGATGCTTAGTTGCCAGTATGGATCCTATGGATATTGACCAGGTCATGCCATTTGAGGATAATGATGTTGACATCGGCCCACTTCAAGCAAGCATCTCCCTCCTGGGACGTCTCTTCTCTCCTAGACTGGTGACCAGAACTTTGATGGATCGTGTAGCCAATGGGATGTGGGGGACTGCGGCAACCTGCATCATTGTCCATGAGGCGGATCATGGGCTTTGGCGTTTTATTATTTCTGATCGTGCTATCAAGGAACGCGTGGCTAGTCGCTCCCATGGATAGTCAAGGATTTCGTGCTCCACTTGATTCCTTGGCAACCGGTTACAGATGCATTGATGCAGGAGCTGACTCGAGTTCCGTTTCTGGTGTACATGTCTGACGTTCCACCGTAGTTATGTACTCTTAGCTTGGGACGTCGGCTAGCTATTCATCTGGATGGCATTCTTGAGGTGTGCCAAATTGGGTTGTACTCTGATCATCCGGGGGAGACTGAAGTCTTCATCAAAGCTCGTGTTTACATCAATGCTACTGTTCCACTACATTCGAGACTATTCGCTTAGAATGAGAATCGGGGAGGCTTTTGGGAAAAACTTGACTATGAGTATTTACCCTTGTTCTGCTTCACTTGTTGTTGTCTGGGACATGGTGAAGCAACTTGCACTTTCCCACCCCTCCTCTAGGTGCTGAAATTTATGATGCTTCCATGTCTGTTTTTCCACATGGAATTCCGCTTAATGAATCAACTCTATTGCCGACTAGGCATCTTCCTGTTTCTCGTCTTCGTGGTCGGGAAGAGGCCGTTACACATGGGTGAACCCCCGCCAGCATGGTCAGGCGAGTCCGGCTCAAGGAGTTCCATCTGTAGACCCTGATCCATGGATGCATTAGACGATGATGGTTGTTCATTCTGGAGAAGCTGCTGACTCTATTCCGCCGGCTGTGCCACCTGTGATTGTGTCCATGCGTCCAAATGAAAGGAGATCACTTCCACCACTTCGGATCAAGGAGGTGGGTGAACCTATTTGCATTCATCCCCTGTAAGCAATTCCTGATTTATCTAAAGGTAAAGGAAAGGCTGTGCTTCAGGAGCTAGACTCGGATGATGATGATAAGGACCTCCTTCATGTTACACAACGTGTTGGACCTTCCTTCCACATGGTGATTTCGGAAGCTGAACTGGAATTCGATGGACTGAAGCGTACTCATGAGGAAATGGAAGCTATGGGAGACACTAGAGAGTCTGATGTTGTTGGATTGTTGATGTCGGCAGATGGTTCAGGGATGCATGTAGATGCGGACTTGGAGCCCGTTGCAAAGAGGCTGCATGTTGATGATATTCTGGAAACTATGGAGGTAGCCAGCAATGAATGGCCCCAATGTCGTGAATGACAATTTTAAGTTGGAATTGTAGTGGCTTGGGTCCTACTTCTACAATTCAAGCTTAGCAAGACCTCGTTCATGTGCATTCTCTTTCGTTGCTTTTCGTGTATGAGACTCGTAAGCCTGGTAGCTATGTTGATGGTTTAATTCATTCGTTTGATTTTATTGATTGTAAGGTTGTGAATCCAGTTGGACTTCGGGTGGCTTAGTAGCTGCTTGGACTGTGGATTTGGATGTTTTTATTTTGTGTTCGGATGTTTTCAATATCTCTGTGCATATTGTGAATGGTAATTCGTATGTAGTTTTGTTTGTGTACGTAAATTGTGATGATGGTGTGCGAAGGGAGAAATTTCGGTATTTAACTAACTATTGTTTGTTGTTAGCTGTCCATTTTGTGATTGTTGGCGAATTCAATGATCTTTTATTTGAATCTGAGAAAGACGGCGGTGTTCCTTTCAATGTTCAAAAAAATCAGCACTTCGGAACCTTTGTTAATGATCTTGGTTTGATTGATTTGGGTTTTGAGAGGCCCCATTTGACTTGGTTTCATAGGCATAGTCAACCAGCCCGCTAGTAGCGATATGGCACAAAGAAATAATAGAAAAGAGCCCCTCTATAAAGATCTTCATTAGTACGTAAACCAATTGTACACCATCACTGATAAACACCAGAATAAGCAATATTCATTGGGCCAAGAGCACCCCCTCGAGCAAACCTTCATTCAAAGTTGTTTAGATCGGCTCCTTTTTTTCTCAAGGTTGGATTGATAGTTGACTAGAAGGTCAGGTCAAGCATCTGTCTAATAGAGGATCTGATCATCGGGCCATCCTCTATTCCTAGGACTCTAATAGAATTAATGGGAAGCGAGTCTTTATGTTTGATTCCCGTTGGGGTGCTAATCAAGAAGCTGAGCGCCTGGTCCGGGAGACTTGGGATTCTGATGTGCCTGATTCACCTAGTTTTCAGCTATGGACTTGGCTCAAGCATGCTCGCCACAAGCTATTCACTTGGGCTCGACTTGGGACTACAAATTCTGCTCACAAAATTCATCAGTTGCAACAATCGACAACTACTATTAGATCCACTGTACCTGTTAATTGGGATTTGCTTGCTAGAGTGGAACGTGCTTTGTCGACGACTTGGGCTTCTAAGGAGCGGTATTGGCGGCAACAATCTTGTACCCCTTGGCTGCATGAAGGAGATAGTAATATAAGGTATTTTCACAATATGACTAGTGGCATCGGAGAAGGAATCTGATACGAGGATTACTTGACAGACATGGTACCTGGAAGACTTCGGAACCTGCTGAGCAGACTATTGTGACTGATTTTTACTCGACTTTGTTCACTTCTTGGGGTTCTCAAGATGGCTTTGCAACATGTGTGGAAGAAGTTGTGGGTCGCCTTCCTTTGCCCACCTTGGTGATGAGAGATATGAACAATGTTTTGACAAGCGTTGTTACTTCTGATGAGATCAAAGATACTGTGTTCCATATGATGGAGATTAAAACTCCAGGGTCTAACGGGTTTACTGGTGAGTTTTTCGAAGCTTTTTGGCATATTGTTGGGGGTAGTGTCATTCATGCTATTCTATCCTTTTTTCAAATGGGTAAGCTCTTGAAGAAATTCAATCACACTTGGTTAACTCTCATTCCTAAAGTGGATGTGGTGGAGCGGGTTTCTCAACTTGGGCCAATTAGTCTCTGTCAGTTTCTTTATAAAGTCATCGCCAAAATCATGGCCTCTCGACTCTCTTTTATTTTGCCATCTCTTGTATCTGTTGATCAGAATGGATTTGTTCGTAATTGCCAAATTTTTGACAATGTGTTAATTGCTCATGAATTGATGCATTTTGTGAAGAACAAACGTCAAGGCCGGGAGAAATTCATGGCTGTGAAATTGGACATGGCGAAGGCATATGATCGGGTAGAATTGCCCTTCCTTTTTGTTGTGCTGTGCAAAATGGGATTCTATACTCCATGGTTAAATTTAATAAAGGAATGTGTGACTACTATTACTTTCTGTATCTTAATGAATGGTGCTCCTTCTGGTTACTTTGAAGCTTCTAGAGGTTTACGCCAGGGTGATCCGCTTGTACCTCTATTATTTGATTTGTGTTTCGAACGGTTTACTGCTATGATTCGGGATGCTGTTGGTCATCACCATCAGCATCCTCTTCGGATGGGACCTCATTGTCCGTCGATTTCTCACTTACTTTTCGCAGATAATTCATATTTGTATCTTCGTGCTTTTTCGAGGGATTGTTCTGCTCTCCTTTATTTACTTAGAGATTATGAATCTATTAGTGGGCAGAAGGTTAATTTGTAGAAGTCAGCAGTATGTTTTAGTCCGAATGTACTTGCAGAAGATAAGGAAGAGTTGGGTGCTCTGCCAGGGATTGGTTCGCTGGGTGTACAAGATAAGTACATGGGTTTACCATCTCTAGTGGGAAGATCCAAGATGGATACATTTCGTTATGTGGAGGAAAGATTGTTGGAAATTCAACAAGGTTGGAAACATCGTTCTTTGTCTTCCGCTGGTAAAGAAATTCTTGTAAAGTCGGTGGTTGCTGCTCTCCCTGTTTATATAATGTCCTGATTCCGACTTCTCCTCATCCTACTTAGGCGTTTAAATGCTCACTTGGCACGGTTCTGGTGGGGGTGCTCTTCAAGGCCAAAAACGAGTGCATTGGCTTGAAAGACTTTGTGCAATAGTAAGTGATATTATCCCAAATTGGCCCTCAATCAAGTTGGAATTGATTGATCAAGAAGGTAAGCTAAGAACATTAAAGAACACTGAATTTTGGCCAAGTTCTTTTATAGTTTCAGGTAGCCAACTTTGCACGCCGGGAACTTGTTATTGGCTTAATGAAAATTCAAGTTTAAGGCCTAGTTTTGAAGATGAAGAGTTTATCTTTCCATTGATGTGATTTGGAGCTCGAGAGGAAGCCCAAAAGAGTGATTTCCAGGTCGATCAAGTTGCTAGCTCAACAGGGGAAAAACTGCCGAAATATTGTAAGTGTTGGAACGAGTTCGGGAAGGAACTTTGGAAGCCTCAATCAAAGGGATGGCATGAGAGTCGAGCTTCAAGAATCATACCTCATGAAAGTAGGTTTCTTCTAATACAACGACATGGCGTTGGATGACTGGAATGAAGAATGGAAGACCTCGAACGAAACCTCCAAAGATCGTATCGAAGCTGAGTCTGTCTTTAGAAACCGTGCAATCCGAATCCTTATCGGATTAGGATTCCTTTACTGTTTTGTGTTTAATTCCTTTTCATTGTTGGTTTTGATTTCCTTTTCCAATTGTAATTTGTTTAGGACTTTTTTAAGACTAGTAGGATTGGCTAGGTCTATTTAAGTAGCTTTGATTCATTGTAATTTTCAGTTTTTGAGTTGAATTGAATAAACCGTGAGGTTGAGTTCCATAACATCTTGCTTTGTGAATTTGGAGGACTTCCTAGTTGAATCTAGGTGGGTTTTTTGGCTTGTATCGTTTAGTTAGTCCCGCTGTTCGTGGCCAAGGATATACCCTAAGTTTTCGAGCCTCTCTTCCCTTCGAGAATGTTGCACGAAATCACCATCTCAAACACAAACTCAAACTCTATTTTGTGTTCTTCATTACATAGTTTTTATTCAATCTTTGGATTGAATCTAGTTGTGCTTCTCTTATTCAAAAACCACCCATCTAGGGGGTTATCGAGTGGTATGACGAGCCTGGTTCAAAACAGAGGCCAGTGCGGAGGAGAACGTTGTTGTTACGACGGCCTGGACGAGGTCAAAAGGATTTGTTTCTGACGACCCTGAATCGGTGTTTCCAGAACCAGCAAAGAAGAAGAAACAGACAGTATGGAGGAGAGGTTCCAGACTCAAATCAGGATTAGCTGGGTCAGTTTAAACGC